GTTAAGCAGCCAGTGGGGAATAAATTTTGAGTTTTTAACACGGGTTAAGCAGCCAGTGGGGGTATGAATTTTACTGAGTTTTTAACACTGGTTAAGCAGCCAGTGGGAGTATGCATTTTATTGAGTTTTTAACACGAGTTAAGCAGCCAGTGGGGGTATGCATTTTACTTGAGTTTTTAACACGAGTTAAGCAGCCAGTGGGGGTATGAATTTTATTGAGTTTTTAACACGAGTTAAGCAGCCAGTGGGGGTATGAATTTTATTGAGTTTTTAACACGAGTTAAGCAGCCAGTGGGGGTATGAATATTATTGAGTTTGTAACACGGGTTAAGCAGCCAATGATGTTTTTATGGTACAGCTATTCGTCTGTTCAAGTATTTAGTATTCTTAAAAGTATGTATGTGTGTGAAATTTTTAAACTGAATTTTTTGCTCACTAAATCTTAATCTCGGGTTTAAGATACCGAATTAACGTGTCTTTCACGAGCCTTACCAAACGTGCTTTTCAGTTTTATTAAATACATTATTTCTTCCATAGTTGACCTTGAAGTTTCAATGTCAATATATTAATTTTGTTTTTACAGAAGAGCCTTTGCATCCTTGTTTAACTGCAACAACAGCGCCCTCGAGCGGCTGTCATTAAGAGTGATGGTGATGCCGCTGTTCTTCACTTTGCTTTTCTTGTTCTATTTTCCCATGGAAACAACTCAGCAAAGTTTTGTCACACGAAACGGACTGATTTTCAACTGTTTGATGGGCGTTTCGCTTCTGTCAGCTGCCATCACTGCCGTTACATGTACGTTATATTTCAACTTCTTATTCGCTCAACTGAGTTTTCTGTAACACCACTAACATCGTTCAAGAATAGTTGGATCTATGGCTCGAATTCAGGGCCCCAGAAAAAAAAATCGAACTGTGTTCTTTGTTCAATTTCTTCCATGAGTATCTTTATTTTATGCTTTTACCAAAATGTTCTTATTCAAGTTTTTGACAACAATTAATCTTGTACTATAAACATTTATCGTTTTACATGTTTTATATCGTGATTAAGTTTCGTTATTTTGATTGAATGTAAATTATTTTATCATGATATATTGGATATCGGTGTATCATTGTCGTGCCTTGTTATTCTTGGTATGTTTTTAATTTTGACAATTTTTTTTTTCAAGGCAGATTTAGGTAGTATATTTAACACGTGGGTTAAGCTCTGGTTTAGGTAGTATTTGTTCGACACGTGGACTGCAAGGCAGATTTAGGTAGTGTGTGTTCGACAAGTGGACTGAGCTCTGGTTTAGGTAGTGTGTGCTTGACATGTGGACTGACCCCTGGTTGAGGTAGAGCGTGTTTAACACGTGGACTAAGCTCTGTTTTAGGTAGTATTTGTTCGACACGTGGACTGCAAGGCAGATTTAGGTAGTGTGTGTTCGACAAGTGGACTGAGCTCTGGTTTAGGTAGTGTGTGTTTGACATGTGGACTGACCCCTGGTTGAGGTAGAGCGTGTTTAACAAGTGGACTGAGCTCTGGTTTAGGTAGTGTGTGTTTGTCATGTTGACTGACCCCTGGTTGAGGTAGAGCGTGTTTAACAAGTGGACTGAGCTCTGGTTTAGGTAGTGTGTGTTTGTCATGTTGACTGACCCCTGGTTGAGGTAGAGCGTGTTTAACACGTGGACTAAGCTCAGGTTTACGTAGTATTTGTTCGACACGTGGACTGCAAAGCAGATTTAGGTAGTGTGTGTTCGACAAGTGGACTGAATTTTGTATGGATTTCTTATTCCCATTCATTTGTATCTGAGATCTGATTGACTCGAAAGATCATTTCGGATCCAAGAGAAAAAGGATGAAATGTATTAGAATCTCGGTTTACATTTCGAAAGATTGTCAAAGTCATATCTAAAAACAAATAAAGGTATAGTTATATATGAACAATATAGTGATCCTTTCCTGATTCTAAGGATGTTCTTCCAGATGCTCCTCACAGGACTCGTTACTACCAGGAAGCAAGAGAAGGAATCTACCGAGGACCAATGTTCATATTTAGTTATATTCTTTACAGCTTACCACTCAGTTTGATGACAGTCTGGGCAGCTGCCACAATCATATATGCGTAAGTTAAGTTATTCGGAATGATTTCTTTATATTGACAGAAAAATGGCTTTAAACTGAAACGTTATGAAATTTTATGCTTAATATATACTGTATTGTTGGATTAGTAAGTGGATTTAGGAATTGTCTAAATATCCTCAACTGGCTGAATCTTTTGATATTTCTGAGATCATGGCCAAAATGTTTGTTAATATGAATGGTACCCAACGGCCTGACGATTCAATGCATTCTAATCACTACAGATTTTAGTTTTTTGTGTATTTATTATAAAATGACATAAAGTTTATGTAAGATTGGTGTCATGAATTTATAAGTTACATTTTAGTTGTGAGCGATATCGTCAGCCTTACTTTTGATCAGTAATCATATCTCCATATCGTTAATGTAGTCAGTGGTTAGGAATTAGAAAATTTCGTGTTTTTTTCAACCAGTTGATTTTAAAATGTTGTTACTTTAGAGGGACACGTCTACGTCAAGAGTGGGACCGCTGGGCAGCGTTCTGTGCAGTGTTGTGGACGGTCTATGTGTTTTCTGAGCAACAGACAATATCCTTGATGATGTTTATCCGAAGTTCTTACCGAGCTTTTATAACCAGCATCTACATCCTCATCCTTTATATCACCCTAGCAAGTAGCACTGTCAGGTATAAACTCTCTACAGTAGAATACCATACTCTCGTTGTTAGCTAACTTATCCCAGCTCGCTCCTCTAACAATATATACTATCTACAGTAGAATACCATACTCTCGTTGTTAGCTAACCTATCCCAGCTGGCTCCTCTAACAGGATAATATATACTATCTACAGTAGAATACCATACTCTCGTTGTTAGCTAACTTATCCCAGCTCGCTCCTCTAACAGGATAATATATACTATCTACAGTAGAATACCATACTCTCGTTGTTAGCTAACCTATCCCAGCTGGCTCCTCTAACATGATAATATATACTATCTACAGTAGAATACCATACTCTCGTTGTTAGGTAACTTATCCCAGCTCGCTCCTCTAACAGGATAATATATACTATCTACAGTAGAATACCATACTCTTGTTGTTAGGTAACTTATCCCAGCTCGCTCCTCTAACAG